AAATCTCCGGCCTTGTTTGTATTTCATGTTCTACCCTCGCAGGGGAAGAAGCTGTCACCCCAACGTCTATCCAAGTGGATTGTGGAGACTATCAAATTGTGCTATATGCTAGCCAAGAAGTCGCTCTCGGGTCCACTAAGGGCGCACTCTACCCGGGCAGTGGCGGCGTCCACAGCCTTCCTGCGAGGTGCATTGTTGGAAGATATCTGCAATGCAGCTACTTGGGCCACGCCTCACATGTTTGTGAGGCATTATGCCCTCAATGTTCGTCTTCATCAGCGTTCAATTGTGAGACGAGCAGTGTTGCAGGCGGCACAGATTTAGGACCTCAGCTCCCTCCTCCAGGTAGGTGGGCATTGCTTTTCAGTCTCCCAGAGGTGTGATGCACAGAGACCACGAAGAAGATAAACAGGTTGCTTACCTGTAACTGAGGATCTTCGCGTGGTCATCTGTGCATTCACACCACCCGCCCTCCTTCCCCTCTGCCTTCGGTCCTTCCTTCCTTTCTTTGCAGACTGAGGGCAGCGGTCAGAAGGAACTGGCGGGATTGTCGTGCCCCTCCCTTGGTCATGCGCAGTGGAGCCCGGCACGTGATCAGGGAGCGGGCACAAAAATTCCTTTTGCTTTCAATTATACCGATCAGGGTCAGCGCAGGCGCACTATATCCCAGAGGTGTGAATGCACAGATGACCACGCGAAGATCCTCAGTTACAGGTAAGCAACCTGTTTATCTTCTTCGTGGTCTCTGTGCATCACACCTCTGGGAGACTGAAAAGCAATGCCCACCTACCTGGAGGAGGGAGCTGAGGTCCTAAACTTGTGCCACCTGCAACACCGCTTGTCCCACAATTGAACGCTGATAAAGATGAACATCGTGTGCATAATGCCTCACAAACGTGGCCCAAGTAGCTGCATTGCAGATATCTTCCAACAATGCACCTCGCAGGAAGGCTGTGGACGCCGCCACTGCCCGGGTAGAGTGCGCCCTTAGTTGACCCGAGAGCGACTTCTTGGCTAGCATATAGCACATGAAGTTATCTGTCAGTTCTTTATTCACATTTATTTTAGCTCTTTCTTCAGAATAGATAGCTTCAATACAATTTCTAAAGCACAATTTGATAGTCTCCATAATCCACTTGTATAGACGTTGGGGTGACAGCTTCTTCCCCTGCGAGGGTAGAACATGAAATACAAACAAGGCCGGAGATTTCCTAAAGCACCGTGTTCGACTTAGGTAAAAGAGTAAAGCTCTTTTAACATCCAATGAATGAAAACGGCGTTCTTCCTCTGTTGAGGGAGATGGACAGAACACTGGAAGCAC